ACTGAGGACAGGTAGGAGGAGGGGGCATTCTCAAGGCTTGCCCAAACTCCCGCCCCGCTCTTCTCCGAGGCCAGCTCCAGCTCTCACCCCTGCGGAAGGACTTGCGGAGCGGGCGGCCCCCAGGGCCCTCGGCCGGCGGCAGCTGCCCCAGCTCCTCCACACCCAGCGGCAGCGACTTCCCGGGCTTCAGCTTCGGCTTCTGCAGGTACAGGGGAGGCACTGGCACCGCATGCAGACCCCGAGCAGCCCCGCAGATCCGCACCCGGCCCCCTGCCCCCCGTAGCCCATCGTCCGCACCTTCCTGGTGGCGTCGGGGCTGCCGAGGCGCAAGGAGTCAGGTTCCCGTAGGGGGCGCCCCTGGGCCTCAGCCAGGAGGCACTCGCGGTACAGCGGGGACTTGACGAAGCGCGCATAGCTGTCGAACTTCATCAAGTTGAAGATCTACGGGGACAGGCGCCTCGACGGTGAGCTCGCGTCCCGCCGGGCTCCCGGGGTTGGCCTGGTCTCTAACTAGGGACGGAGCCCCGAGCCCTTCCCACCCGCCTCCAAGGCCCAGCCCCGCCCCTGCTCCTGGCCCCGCTCACATCTCAACTAAGCACCGCCCCTACCTTTGCTGCGTCCCGCCCCTGACCTCCCCCTTCACCACAGCCTCAGGTACCTACCTCTGAACAGCGCCCCGCCCCCCTATTATTTGTCCCCAAGCCCACAACCGCATTTCCCCTCCCCACCGCTCATCCCCGACCCTGCGCCGCTCAGGCTCCGCCCCTGGATCGGGCCCCGCCTCTTCTCCACTTGGTCCCCTCCGAGGCCCCGCCCTCTCACCTGCAGCTGCTGTGCCCGGAACATGTCCGGTCGCGGCTCAGCCAGCATCTCCTCACCCACCCAGGCCTGCCGGTCGATGTTGACGGGGCTCAGCGCCTGGCTGGACAGGAACTCCTGGTAGATGTTGCGGGCCTCCTGAGCCAGCTGGGGCAGGCGGGACAGGAAACGGTCAGGGGCACCGCCCAGGCCCAGGTCCCAGCTCTCCCTCCGCCTCAGCTCCCCGCTACCCGCACCTGCTGGGTGTCGCTGGCAGGGATCTGCTGGAAGCGCTCGCAGGCCTTCCAGAAAGTCAGGTTCTCAGCACTGAACTCCTTCTTCAGGAACTCCTGGGGCGGGTGAAGGTCAGAGACCCAGTCAGGGGATGTGGTCAAAGGGATTGGGATAGACTCTATCCGATAGGGCCTCAGGGCTAAGAGGCCAAGCCAGACCCATAGTGCCAGACAAACATGATAGTGCCAGACAAACAGACGGGGCCAGATTCGGAGCAGAGAGAGAAAATGAGAGGCAGAGACAAGGGCAGGGAGAAGCAAAGTGCCCGCTGGGAAAGGAGGAAAAGGGTGCCAACGCAAAGCTGTGGAGGAGGCAGCTGACAGAGGAGTCCCACTGGCCAGCCTGAAGCTCTGCCCATGCCCCCAGCCCCACTGCCATCCACCCTCCCTATCCCACTCCAGGGATTACCGTGAAGTAAGCCAGGCCCAGCGGGTCCTGCAACAGCCGCTCGAAGGACAGGCCCCAGCTGGCCACAGGCTGTTCCTCAGTGGGGAAGGGGCTGCTGGGGCCACTGGGGAGGCTGTGGATGCTGAGGGAGCTGCCTCGGCCCTCGCTCTGGTCCTGGGGTCCCACCGTGCTGCTCAGCTCTGCAGGGGGATAGACAAGTGGATGTGAGCTTTGCAGCCTTCCCCTTGGCCCAACCCCGTGTGCAGATCCTTTCCCCGGAAAAGATAGCAAGTGGCAGGGGTATCCCACCCCATTTTCACATACCCCACCCCCCCCAGCCAGGTTTCCTCCACCGGCTGGTCACTCACCTCCATCGGAGACAGCCAAAACCTACAAGAGATCCGAGGTAGAAAATCAGAGTGCAGCCCAGGACGGATTCTCAAAGAACAGTCCTGGGACCAGTCCACAGACTGGAGCTGTGTTCTCTTCTGCCTGGAGGACCGTGCTGGGCATTCCCAGCCAGGCCACTGCTTGTTCGAGGTGTTGCTTAGGCTGTCTCCAGGCCCCCTTCCATCATGTGCCCCTTCCCTGTGTGCTGGTGTCCTCCAGGCGCCCCTGGCTCCCTCCTCCGGCGCCTGCTGGGAAGCCCAGGTATACAGCATGGTGGGTAGACTTTGCGTCCTGTCTCTGCCACTTACTAGCTGCATGACTTTGGGCACGTTACTTGTTTGTCTCCATCTGCTAATAGGGGACGATGATAATAATAGTAACTCACTTCCTGGGGCTGTTGTGAGGACCAAATCAGTTTAAAGTATTTGCAGCATCGGGAACAGTGGCCGGCATGCGGTAAGCGCCATGTCCATGTTGTCTTTGAGGAAGGAGAGGTGCCTCTAAAACTGATGATTTCCTTATGGCAACTGTTTCCTTTTGGGGCCCAGGGTCTCCCTTGTGTCCCACCCCCTTGGGCAGGGCACAGGAAACTGTTTTATAGTACAGAGCAGTGGTCCTCAAGCTTCAGTGTGCTTTAGAGAGCCTGGGAGGGGATTCCAGTTCAGTAGGTCCAGGATGGGGCCGTTGCTAACAAGCTCCTGGGTGATGCTGACACTGCTGGTCCATGGACCACACTGCGAGTGGCATTGCTGAGAGACCAACTCCATCCCCCTCCTTCCCTCCACACACAACTCCAGCGTCTCTGGGAATCCCAATCATTAGTGGAACAGGAAAACCCTCCTTTCCAAATGACTCTTGCTTGGTCTACCTACCTTCCTAGCAGCTCCTCCAGCTTCCTCATCATCTCCTACCCACGGGAGGTGGCCGATACCCCTCCCTTACTCTGTCCTGGGCCCTTTCTCCACCCATATATCCCCAGCTCCAAACACACACAGCCAGCTTCCGCTAACATCTCCGCCCAATGTCCCTCACGCGCTTCAAATTCATCGGGTCCCCAGGGGAAGCCACCTCTGCCACCACCACAGCAGGGCACCCAACCTGTTTCCCTGCACCCTGCCTTTCTTCTCATCACCTGAGCTCCCAGCATCAGGGCTTGACTCATCCCCGATTTCTCCCACCCTCTCCCCTCCTACATGTTCACGAGGCCCTGGAACAGGAGCCTCCACCACCTGTGCCTTCTTCCCATCCCCACTGGAAACAAGTCTGCAAAGACCCCTCTCCCAGGAAGCCGCTCCCTGCCCTCCCGCTCTGGCTGCGGTCCCCTCTCTCCCCCACTTGCACCGGGGCACTCAGGTCACAGACAGAGGTGGGCCGGAGCTGGCCTGCAGATATGTAGGACATTACTAATACCTTGGTCCTCAAAATGTGTTTTTTTCTTTTAAGTTTGAAGTGGTTTCCCACATTTAGAAATCAGGAGTTTGGCCCTGGCCAATGTGGCTCAGTTGGTTGGGCATCCTCCTGTGCACTGAAAGGTTGCCGGTTCAATTCCTGGTCAGGACACATGCCTGGGTTTTGGGCTCCATCCCCAGTAGGGAACATGCAGGAGGCACTCAATTAATATCTCTCTCTCTCTCTCCCTCTCTAAAATCAATAAAAACGTTTTAAAAAATCAGGAGTTTTACAGAAAACCCCAGCTGTCTGTCTCCCCTTTAAGACTATAATGCCCCAGCTACCTGAGTCCTTCCAGCATGGCAACCTTGGCTGGCACTGAGCAGCAGCCAGTGTCAAAAGGGGCTCATGCCCTAGACCGTTTGGCTCAGTGGATAGAGCGTCAGCCTGCGGACTGAAGGGTCCTGGGTTTGATTCCAGTCAAGGGCACATGCCCAGGTTGCATGCTTGGTCCCCACTAGGGCACGTGTAGGAGGCAGCCTATCAGTGATTCTCATCATTGATGTCTCTATCGCCCTCTCCCTCTCCCTTCCTCTCTGAAATCAATTTTTTTTTTTTAAAAAAAGAAGGAGCTCAGGCTCTCCTCGGTCCCTGGGGCCAGTTTGATGTATTTATGTTACTTATGGAAGCAGGTGCTGCCCCAGACTGTGTGACTTGGACAAGGTACCTCACCTCTCTGTGCCTCAGTGTCTTCTATACAAATGGAGCAAATGAAGGTCCTGACTTCACAGGGTTGCTGTGATTAAATAAGTTAAATATATATAAAGAACTCAGGACACTGTCTGGCATATGTAAATAATACTGACAACAATAAGGTTGTTGTTGTTGTATTACTATTGGTGTCTGACCCTGCTCCCACTTTCAAGTTTGTGAGCCCTGCCGCAGAGGAGAGAGCACAGATTCAAATCCCAGCCTTTTCCAGTTTCATATCCGTGGTCTCCTCCCGGAGCCTCCTTTCCCACCAGGAGCACTAGGATCAGATACTGCGGAGGAGGAGGGAAAGTTTTCGCAGGGCATGGCTGGGCCTGGAATCGGCTCCCAGTGCACCCCGCCCAGCCCTCACCCTCCTGCCTTTGCTCTGTCCCATCTAACGGTTTCATCTGAGTCATCTCCCACAGCGGCAGGAGAAAGTCCCAACGCTGGGATGTGTGAGGACGACCCGTCCCTTCCAGCCTGCTCTTTCCCGTCCTGGCACCTGCCTGCTCAGGCTGCTCTGCAGCTGTTCCCAGCCTCATCGCCACGGTCAGAGCCCTCCCCGAAGGTCTCTGGGAACCATCCTGACTCCCCACCCCTCCAGGGGTGCCACTTGGTCCTGCCTCCTCCTGTACCCGCTGGCCTCCTCTGGCCTGCCCTCCAACCTGGGCAGAGCCCCCAAGACTGCAGGGGCCAGGCCAGAGCCTCAGAGAGGGCAAAGGTTCCCACACCGGAGCCAGCCCTCATGCCTGGTTTGTTTGCACTGGGTCGAATTGATTTTCTGTGTCTTTAGGTGGAGCCAGCTCCCAGATCCTCCGCAGGCCCCACTCCCTGCCCTGGGAGGCCGAGCAGGTGCTGAGTTATAGCTGAAGCCCTGCGTGGGCCTGGTGAATGACCCCCCTCAGCCTCCCTCTTTCCCCTCCCTCACCTCCACCCTGCACTTTATCAGACCTTTCCCCTCACCCCTACAGACTCCTGCTTCCCCCTTTGCTCTTTCCTCTGCCTGGTATCTTCTCCTGCTCCCCTAGCCAACAGCTCTCCAATCTCTGCCCACTGACATCAGTCTCCCCCAGATACCAGCTGCCCTCTGCCCTCTGCCCACCCAGCTTCTACCCACCCATTTCTGGGCGTCTTCCCTTATCAGTCTGGTAGCATCCAGGGGGCAGGCCTGGGTTGTAGGAGGGAACCAACCTGAACTCCATTCCACGAAGACCCTTCCTTGCCCCAGTGCTCCCAAGTAGCCCTCCTCTGCACCCCCAGGTGGCCCCAGCACCCCTCCCCCACCAGGGATGCTCCACATGAACACCTCATCTCTGAAGCCTGCAGTTCACCTTCCTGAACCCCTCCTGCCCCACTGGTTGTTGATCTTTGTGGTTGAGGTCAAGGCAGGATAGGGACGGAGATCAGAGGTGGGAGAGGGTGGAGATGGAGTCCAGTTCCAGTTCCACTATTCTGGGGCAAGTAACTTCCCTTCTCTGAGCCTCAGTTTCCCCCTGGGTAGCATGTGGCTCAGCATTCCCAACATGCTGGGGCTGCTGGGAAGGGCAGATGAGGCCCATATGTGAAAGCAGCCGGCCTGTGGTGGTCCGGGCTCCGCTGACATGCTGATGCCCTGGCTCCTACCTGCCCAGGTTCCCAGGCCCGGGGAAATCGCGCTGAGCAGGGCTGGCCTGGCCCCACCCGGCCTGCCTGAGGAGAAGTGGTGAGTGAATGGGGAGAAAAGGGGAAGAGAGGATGAGGAAGGGTGTGGTGGCCAGTGGCATCCCCAACCCATGGTCGGGCCTCAGCCTGCCATATTTTTTCTTAGGAGATGGGCCCTGGGGGAGCCGCTGGACTCTGAGCACACTGAGGTGAGGGTGGCCGGTTTCCTGAGCTCCGTGTGTGACCGGCACTCTCTGACAGTCCGTGTCCTTGCTCTCACGCCATCCTCACATCCTGGTCCCATGCAACAGCTACTGTTATTGTCCTTGCTCTCATGCCATCCTCACATCCTGGTCCTGTGCGGCAGCTACTGTTACTCCCATGTCACAGGTGAGGAAACCTAGGCCCCAGAAGTCAGCGGCTGCGAGGTGGCTGGGCTGAAATCGAAACCCGAGTGCGCCTGACTCTGGAGTCTGAGGTCTCCCCTCCACTAAGTTGCCTCCCAGGATGGAAAGGAGACATCCCAGGGGAGCTGGGAGGCCCAGGGCCTCAGCCCTTGGGCCACAGGTGGGCAAGGTCAATTGGGGGTATAGGGCCCAGTGGCTCCTCATGAACCCGGACCCCTGGAGAGGTCAGACCCTCAAAGGGAGGGTCAATTTACTGAGTGTCCTCTGTGCTGGGCACTCTGTACCATCATCTCATCTCATTCCAACTTGGGGAAACAGAGGCCCAGAGACACCCACAGAGAACCCTAGGAGCCTGGCCCCTTCAGTCTGAGCCAGCCCTGTAGACCCAACCCAGACTTGGCCCCTTGGTAAGGCCACCTGTCACTCAGGGCCTGGCCCTGAGATGGATGGTCCAGAGCAGTGGGTCTCAACCTTCCTAATGCCGCGACCCTTTAATACAGTTCCTCATGTTGTGGTGACCCCCAATTTCATTGTTACAAATTGAACATAATTAAAGCATAGTGATGAATCACAAAAACAATATGTAATTATATATGTGTTTTCCTTTGGTCTTAGGCGACCCCTGTGAAAGGGTCGTTCGACCCCCAAAGGGGTCGCGACCCACAGGTTGAGAACCGCTGGTCCAGAGGGAGAGTGGGCTGTGCCTTGCCGGTCTCCTTGTCGGGTGGGGACGATTAACCAGGCCTCTGGGGATTGACAGACACAATAACCACCCCTCCCAGTGTTTCCCACGTCTGGGCCTTTCTCCAGGCCATGCCCTCCTCAGCTGGCACATCCTCTCAGGATACCTGCCCTGCCACAGTGCACACGGGAGGGAGGAGGTCAGTTCTCCCTCCCCAGGCCCCCTCCAGCCTTCTCTATCCCTGACCAGCACTCTGCCCCAAACCTGAATTTGATTCAGGCATTTGTGCTCATGTCTTTTGTGTCTTGCCAGACTGGGAGCTGCTTGAGGGCAGGGGACAGGATGCTGGGCCTGGGTCATGACTGCCTGGGGCAGGGGTGGCCGGAGCAGGCCCTAAGGAGGGGTTGAATGAAGGAGTGAACAGATGACGTGGCAGTTGGAGCCGCGAGAAGACATCTCTGGGAAGAGGGCTGAGAGTCATCTCTAAGTGACAGGTTTCACTGCCTGACACGCTGAGTGGCAGAAAGACAAGGCAGATGAATAAAATTGCCTCTGCAGGGAATGATGGCGGGTGGGGTGGCAGCTGGGGAGGGAGGGGGAGGACAGAGCCAAGCAGTTTGGGGAGGCAAAGGAGCCCTGGTATTGAATCAGATTAGCCGGGTTCAAATGCAGGCCCTTCTATCCGCCAGCTGCCCTCAGCAAGTCATTTATTCCTCTGAGCCTCTAGCTGGAGGTAATTCATGGAAGGAGCCAGATACCTAGCTCACAGGTGCCTCTCTATGCTCACCCCTGCTGCAGATGCCAATGCATGTCTGTCTCTCCCTGTTTCAGCTGAACATGGCCTCAGAAAGCTCTCGATGACCAGCAAGTGGCCAATTCGTAGCCCTCGGGACTCCCAAGGTGGCACAGAACATTCAGCACAGGCCCAGGAAGGGCAGAGATAGACCTGTGTGCCGGTTGCTGAGAGGAAAGCCTGTGGGCTTGTGGAGGCCGGGCGCACAGCTTGGGTGCCTTCCTCGCTCTCCATGACTTTGGGCAGAGCAGACATCATTGATGAGGGAAGGGTAGAGGTAAAGTCTGTCTCCGGGCTCCTCCGCTGCCGCATGGTCCCCCTTGGCCTGGACACCCAAGTGTCATGCCTCCAGGGTAGGAGTGTGAGGGTAGGAGTGTGAGGCCCAAGGGTTCTTGAACTTTCAGTAAGCTTGATGGTAGAAACAGTGAGGTGGACGACTGGGCTAACTTGGAGGGACCTGCCTCCTTCCTACACAGCTAGCCTGGGGCTGGGCAATAAGCAGATGCTGGAAGAAGGAGAGATGGAAACAGATCTTGAGAATTAGGAGGCAGCAGTGGGTTTGGGGGTGGCTCAGTTTCCTGATGAGGCGGGGATCCTTGAAGAGGGGCTGAGAATGAAGGGGTGGAATTGGGCTGACATTTATGAAGCCCTCATAATGGGTCAGGGGGCTCATAGTCACCATTCCACTTCATCATCTCAACAAGCCTTTGATATCTGTTCTATTCTCATGGTACAGATGAAGAAACTGAGGGTCAGAGAGGCCCCCCTAGTAAGGGAGAATGGAGCCCAGGTTTCCAGACCCAATGGCTTTGTTCCGTAATGCTAGGCTGAGGCCTGGTGAGGGGCTAGGACACAGCCTGGCCTTTCTGGGGTTGTTGGGAGGGGCTAGGGGTCCGCCAAGTGAGCTGTTATTCTAGGAGAGAAGGGAGGCCCGGCACAACCTGCCCCGTCTGCTGCGTGAGTAAAGAAGCTGGACCTGCAAGGGCAGCTCTGACCCAGAGGCCAAGCAGCCAGGGAGAGGGTTTAGGGGGTGGGGCAGCAGCAACAGCCAGGGCATCCTACAGCCCAGCTACCTCTACCCTTCCTGGTAGCCCCGGAATAGAACAGACAAGCTGCACCCATCCCAGGCTGCCCAAGGACTGCCAGTGCTGGCAGGAAGCCTGTGGAATAGGTCCAGCTGCAGGACAGTGACCCAGTGCCGGCTGCCCCTTACTTGACCTTGGGCATCAGAACATGGGGTGAGGAGGGGAGGGCTGAGGCTAAGTGAGGTGTGGGGGCTTGGGTCACCATGGGGTATGCAGGGCCAAGGGGCATGCCAAGTGTCCCTGCTACCCTAGGATGCAAGCAGCTCCAAAGCAATAGGAGAGGGAGCAGTAAGGGCTGGACCCAGAAGCCTGTGACCAGGTCCCCAGCCGGCCAATCTGGAAGGTGCTGGGGTGAGGGCACCTGGTCCCACCACCTGCTCTCTGTACCCAACTTTTTCCACCCACCAGCAGCCTGCAGGCTCTTCTTGCCCAGCCCTGCCTGTGAGCTCCTGGGCTCCACCCTGGGTGTGCCCACCCCTCCCCAAGAGCCTGGCCTGGAGCCTACACTCACCATGCGCCCGTTGGGGACGCCCAGGTGCTTGGGCTTCCCTGGCATGCCTCTGCTGTTCACCGGGCCCCGCCACGGGGGGTACCCACCATGGGGACTGTGGGCAGCGCCGCAGGCCAGAGCTTGCAGGGCGGCAGGCAGGCGGCGGAGAGAGCCCAGCTCCGCTCCTGTGGGCCCTCACATCCTGAAAGACCAGCTCACTACCTCTTTTCTCTGCCACAGGAAGTGTCTCTATAGAAACGGAACCACAGAAAAAAGCAAGGTCTAAGAGAGCGAACAGCTTCTTCCTACACACACACACACACACACACACACACACACACACACGCGCCACCAACACAACCTTGCAGCGCCCCACACAGGCACCAACACACACAGAGGCCTCTGTGTGCCCAGAGAGGAGCTCAGCTGGTCTGACCCTGCCCAGGGAGCTCCAAGGTCATGCCTGGGCACACAGAAGTGCACGCTCACACACCTAGGCAACTCCAGACACCCCGGCAGGGGCTTCCATGGGCTTGTGTACATGTGCACCGCGTATCCATCCACACGTGGACTTTACTCAGCACACACTTATCTCACATCTGCTGTGGGTTGGGCTTGTGCACATTCAGCACACCTCCTCCAGGCAGTTGTGCCCAGACACTTCTCAGGCATGTGCCTAATTGTGCAGACAGACGGACACCTTGCATGCATGGTCATGTACATACAGACCATTCAGGTGTGCCTGTCATAAACACACAGGCTCTCCCTCATAAGGATCACCTGGTGTTCAGTCATATGAATGCACAGTCCTGTGGACAGGTACATGTGACAGGCACACCTGCACATAGGCATGTGTAAGCCCACGCTCGCCCATCTGGGCAGGGACATGGACCAGGTGCATCGATGCTCAAAGACACACGTGCATTCACACTCACCTCGCTCACATACAAATCCCAGCCACCTAGGTAGAGGCCCTGTCAACTGAAGAGTGCCACCCTGCCCTCTCAGCCTGGCCCAGTTCCAGATGAACTTGGACCCTTTAGCCAGAATCCTCAGTTTGCCTCTTTCTTAAACATGCATGTACCCACTACTTTAAGTATGGACTTAGAGCCCGTAAGTCATCCATTACTCCAGTTTGGGCCCCTCTCTCTAAAGGGAAAGGTGACACCCCCTTTTCCATATTCTACCCTCTACGCCCTGCCCCTTTCTAGGCCTGTGACCTGAAACCTTCGGTGGCAGAAACTAAGTCTTTCTTCACCACAAATTCATGTTCTTTACTTCCTGGGAACATGGCTAAACTTTAATTTCCCAGGCTCCCTTGCTGTAAGGTATGGCCATGTGACTAGCTCCCACCAATTGAATATGAGTGGAATGATGTGTGCTGTTTCTGGACCAAGGCTCTGAAGTAGTATATGCTCTCCACATTCTCTTTTCCCTTTAGCTGGCTGGATACAGAAGATGATGAGGTTCCAGGGGATTGGGGAGACACAAGAAGGAAGAAACCTGGGTCTCTGCATTAGTGCCCAAAGGCAAGCCACTCATCAACCAGAAACAGCAGTCTTGGACTGTTACATATGAGCGAGAAATAAACCGCAGACCATTACACACATTAGGGTCTATTTGTTATAGCAGCTAGCATTACCCTAGTTAAATCACCCCTGACTCTTATCTCCTTCCAGACCCTTGCTCCAGGCCACCCAGACAGAGGGATTCATTCAGACTTGGTATGTATATGGGGCTTTTATTGGGGAGGCCTAGAGCATTGATCATGGTGGTTTTGATAAGGAGTGTAAAGGTACCTATGAGGGGGTGTGGAGTGTGTGATGTGAGTGGAGACTGCCTGCCTGTCTGCTGTGCCATGGATCTGGGCCTGGTTTCAGAGGGGGCTTTACAACTTACAGGGTTTTCTCCCATCCTGACCTCATTTGATCCTCACAACCCTTTTGTGAGTGGTTCTCATTATTCCCATCGTATAGATCATGGAACTAGACACTGAGAGACGTGAGTTGCCCAAGGTTTCACATCAAGTTAGAGATATGCTAAGCTGTGAATATTTGTGCTTGGGGTGCCAGGAGTTGGACCTGGGCCACCATCAGCCCAAGTGCCAACTGTTCATCTTCCTTCCCCCAAAGGCCCAATCACAGGCTCTGCCCGGGACCCCTTCCTAAGGTCATCCTCTCCTGCTACTGAGAGACACCTCTCCCTCCCCTCCCTCTTCATCATGGATGCCAGTTTTAACTCTGACCACATATTCCCCTCAGGGACCCCAGACAACCCTGGGATTTCCCATCTCTGAGCCCTTATCTACTTTTCTCCACTCCATGGGTGTGTGTGGCACCTCCATTCCACAGAATACTATTCTCAACTTCTCTCTCTCTGGCTTCCCAAAGGGGATCAGTTACTGATGTTTAGTCTTCCTGTGGGATTTCTGATCCCCTTTCCTGTGGAGACTTCCCTGGGCCCAGGCCTTGCCCTCCCACATCTGGTCCTAATGACCCCCTATTCAATCTCCCGACCTGTTACCTAGCTCCAGTCTCTTCTCTTCACCATAGCGAGAACAACCCACATTGGCCACTCCCATGCTTAAAGCCACCCCATTGCCTTCTGGAAAAAGGTCATGTTCCTTAGCTGAGAGTTAAAAGCCTTTTGAGTTCTGACCTCAATCAAACTCTTGCCCACCACTGTCCAGCCATTCCAAACTGCTTGCATTCCTTATACTTTCAGGGGACCCTCCCTGACTTTGCATTTCCTGTCCCCGCTGTTGAACATGCCTTTCCTCTGATCACCTCCTATATGCTAAGTACTGTTCTAGATGCTGGGGATTCAGTAGTGACCGTAGCTAACAAAAATCCCGGCCCTCATGGAAGTCTAGTGGAATGTACCTGTCCTTGTTTGTATGGATATAAGTAAGTCTCTGGAAGGGTATACCCCTTGGGAGAGGAGTGGCAGAGGACCCTTGTTGTACATGTCTGACTCATTAAAAATACATGAGCCAGAAAAGATGTCTCATCAGTTAATCCTGAATAAGTTCATTCATTCAAAAGGGAAGCTTCTTAAAATAAAATAAAGGAGCAACCAACCAAGGTCCCATGTTGTGATCTATAACAGGGGCCGTTGGTTCAAATGTCTAGGCAGCAGTTCTCAACCTGTGGGTCGCGACCCCTAAAAATACATCCTGCATATCAGATATTTACATTACGATTCATAACAGTAGCAAAATTACAGTTATGAAGTAGCAACGAAAATAATTTTATGGTTGGGGGTCACAACAACATGATGAGCTGTATTAAAGGGTCGCGGCATTGGGAAGGTTGAGAACCACTGGAGAGGGACCAGACAGGTGGGGTAAATGAGTGGCCAGCCTGGAGACTAGCTTAGAAGAGGACGGCATTTATAGGGGGGCGGTCCATGGGCTTAACTTGGTTGGATCTCCCAATTTTTCCTAAGAAACTGGAAATTTGGATTTCTAATGTGAATTTAAGACTCCTCATTTAAATATATCAGTAGTTAAATCATGTATTTTTAAAATATTTTATTCATTTTTTACAGAGAGGAAGGGAGAGGGATAGAGAGTTAGAAACATTGATGAGAGAGAAACATCGATCAGCTGCCTCCTGCACACCCCCTACTAGGGATGTGCCTGCAACCAAGGTACCTGCCCTTGACCGGAATCGAACCTGGGACCCTTCAGTCCGCAGGCCCACGCTCTATCCACTGAGCCAAACCGGTCAGAGCTGTATTTTGTTTTTTTAAAAATATATTTTTATTGATCTCAGAGAGGAAGGGAGAGGGGAGAGAGATAGAAACATCAATGATGAGAGAGAATCACTGATCGTTCAGCTGCCTCCTGCACACCCCCTGCTAGGGATTGAGCCCGAAACCCAGGCATGTGCCCTTGACCAGAATCATACCTGGGACCCTTCAGTCCACAGGCCAACTTTCTATCCTCTGAGCCAAACCAGCTAGGGCAAATCATTTATTAAAATAGCATTAGCAGGCAAAACAGAGTTCTATTTGGCTGTGGGCCACCAGTTTTCGAACTTTGGCCTACTGCCATCTTTCCTGCACCTTTCATGGACACTATTAAAAATACTAGAGGCCTAGTGCATGAAATTTATGCACTGGTAGGGTCTACCGCTGCCACCGCTGCCTCCCAGTGCCTCCTGCCATCTTGCCTGCCCTGGCCTCCCTCCCTTCCCCCGCAGGCCCCCTGGTCCAACTCCAGTTGAACTCCCTGGTGGTGGAGAGGACAATTTGCATACTACGCTTTTTTATATAGGACATAATTGATTTCAGAGGGGAAGGGAAAGAGCAATAGAAACATTCATTAATTGGCTTCCTCCTGCACGTCCCCTACTGGGGTTTGAACCTGCAACCCGGGCATGTGCCCTTGACCCGGGAATCAAACCCGGGACCCTTTAGTCCGCAGCTAAAGCTCTCTATTAACTGAGCCAAAGCAGCTGGGGCTCATGGACACTTCTTGCTGCAGCAGGCAGGCACTAGGACCACTTGGATCTGTATGCGTCCCAGCCATCACTGGGGTCTCAGGTCTGCCGTCGTGTTAAACCCAATGGGCCTGAGGAACTGGGAGTAGCGGATGTCTTCAAATCACTGGGAATTCTAAGTCTTCAAAGGCGTGAAGCTGGAGCAGGTGAAGCCAGAGCCAGCTAAGGCTCATCCGAGGTCACTCAGGGAGTCCGAGGCGGCACAGCAGTTGGAATTTAGGCCTCTGCCTTCAAATTAGAGATCCTTTACCCCCGGAATGGGAAATATTACTCCAGAGACGCGGTCAGTGGCCAGAGGCTTAGGGCGTTGTATTCTTCGTTTGTCCAGCCCGCGCGAGTGGCCCATCAAAACTACAAGTTCCAGCATGCCGCGCTTCGAGGACGACCCTGGTTCTGCCCCCGACTAAACCATTCCTCTGCTCTCCATTTGCTCACAATCCTAACGTGCTGTTCCATGATTGGTTGTGGCTCGTAAGAACCCGTAGCCGAGGCTGGGCGACAGGTACGTCGGAGCGGCCAAGGCTGTGGAACTGCACTTGATCAGGATGGGGGCTACTCAGCAAATAAGGTCGCGGTCCCCTAGCCTGGGAGGCTTTGCATTTAACTCCTGGTGACACTAAGTTGGAAGGTTTCCGGCCGGAAGCTATTCGATGAGACACCCGGAAGGCGGAAGTCCTCGAACGGA